GGCGGCCTGCGGGCTCGTCACACTCTGCGAGGTACCCCGGGCCCTGCGGCGCTCGGACGGGGCGGCGCTGGTTGGGAGAGCCTTTGGGGGGTGTCGAGCTCGGACCTGGTGGGGGACCCTCCTACGGTCGTAGGCCGGGAGCGCGGGAGCTCGCCGGTCCGGAGACGCGCTCCCTGTTTAGGGAAGTGAAGCCCCTCCCGGGTCGTTGCTTCGCCCTGTGCGGACGCCGGGTGCATCCAGGTCTGGCCCGGCAGCTACAGCTTTTCAGTTGCATGTGCTCTATATAGTGATGCACGTAGTAATTTAATTTCAGGAGTTCGAGAACTGTTAGGTAGACCGTGCGCCTCCATCGCTTACGGTGCCTCAAAGGTATCCCTGTGACAGCACCTTATGTCGTCTTCTGGAAACTGGCCGCCCTGCGAATCAGTGTGTGTGTGTACTGTGTATGGGTACAGCGTATGATTCTTCCTCATCTCTGTCTTTCAAGGCATCTCTGTTCTAAAGTCCTTCCCCAATTTCCGGTACTTTCTAAAGAACTACGAAATTTCAGACATGAGTGATTCCTGTGCTCAATTTCAGACTCATCTCTATTTTCCCTGAGCTTCAGTTTTTACATCTCTAAGGTGGGATTAATATATGTCGTACCAACGTCACAGTATTGTGAAGGTGCAATAATTTTCTGACAGCGCCCAAATGAAAAGAACCACTCTAAGTACCCTTGTCAGGGTGAGTTCTAGTTTCCTCTGTAGTGCCCTGAATTGAGTATGTTATTCCAAGAGTGATTTGACTAGAGGGCCGGCAGGGGGCGTGGTGGTTCAGGGCGCCAGATTCCCACAGGGGCGAGTATGGTTGGAGTCCTGAACCTGGTGACTTCCTCTCTCATTCTGTCTTGCTGGCTTTGTCCCTCTCTGGTCTAATTAAAAATTATAAATAAATAAAGTTAAATGAAAAAGTAATTCTTTAAAAACAAAAGTGAGCTGACCAGACCTCAGTACAACAGGACTATTTGTTTCTGTCATTTGGATATTGTTTTGATTACTGCATCTATTAGCTTTTTTGCCATTAAAGTATATTTCAGAGCATGATAATTTAGCATAGGAATAGAAGAATTAAGACGGCTTTGATTTGTACCAAATTGTATTTAAAAGTGTTACTTCTCACTTTCCCTCTGTCTCTGCCTCTCTTTGGCCAGTGTACCCACCCTAAGGCAAAAACCGTTTAAAAAATTTTGTTTATAAATCAGTTGAAATGATTAAGTTGACTTGACAGACCTCCCCTCTAATTTAATTGATAATACAGTGGAATACATTCTTAAAAAATAATTATTTATTTTAATTTTATTTATTCATTTATTTTAATTTTACCAGAGAGACACGGAAAGAGAGAGGTAAAGTAAGAAAGCAAGCCACCAGGTCCAGGACTCAAACCGTGGTCAGCCATGTGGGACTGTCCAGCACCTTAACCACCATACCTCCTGCTGGTCCAGAATAATTTTTTTTTTGAAGAGAGATTTTTTGCTATAGGGTGCTTGCACTCATCAGACAGGCAGAAAGACAGACAGAAAGTGAGGAATCACCATGCCACCCCGCTGGAGATGGCCACATCACAACCCTTCTCCATTTTCCTCTTGGGAGTTTGGACACACAAGCACACACCCTGCATGAATGTCAAGTCGCCGGGTCTAGGACTTGAACCTTGGTCGATATTGTGGGAGTCCAGTGACGTAACGATTATGCCATCTTCTGATCCCTTCAGTTCAATTTTAATACTAGCCTGAGTTCTAGCTATGTGTGGTCATATGAAGAGGAGGGAACAGATATTTATTAAATGCCTGCTGAGTGCCAGGTGCGTTACTGAATTCCTTAGAAGAAAACTATGACTCAGAAACAGTGGTACAGCCAGCTACGTTGGCGCAGTGGTCACAACACTCCACAATGCAGAGGTCACATTAGGTCCTGGGTTTGCTTCCCAAGGTCTTGTTATACAGTGCTGCTCAAGCCCATATGTGCCAGTTATCCTGGCTGGCTGGGGCTGGAGATAAGAGTGCAGTGAGAGGATCTTATTCTGGTGCCTGGCTCCCCAGCTCCTGATCTTTTTCTGTCTCCCTCTCTCATAGAAGAAATAAACTAAAAAAAATAATAATAATAACTTATTCAAAGTCCCGAAGCTAGTAGATGGCACATCTGGACTTCAAACTCAGAGCTGTCTGACTCTGAAACCTCTTCTTTTTCATTGTACTATAGTATAACTGATCTTAGTCATACTGTCAGACCACATTTTAAAACAAGTTTTTTTTTTTTTAAGAATTATTTTATCTAACTTTATTTATTTATTTATTTAAATTTGACCAGAGAGGGGCAGAGAGAGAAAGTGAGAAAGGAAACTGCTAAGATCAGGACTCGAACTGTGGTCGGCCATGTGGGAGTCCAGCACCCTTAATCACCACATGACCTGCCAGCCTCAGAAATCATCCCTAAGTTTTAACTATACCTTTTTACTACAACATGAGTCCACTTACACAATGAATTGTTATTATTGAACGCTACCAGATTGCTTAGATATTGTCAATAAGAAGGAAGCCTTTATTTATTCTTACTTACAAAATGCTATTGAAGATGCAAATATGTCCTTAAAGGATCTTTAGGGGAGCAAATTTGGAGGAAAGGAAAATAGATAAGGGACTGAACTGTGAGAGAGAGAGAGCGAGAGAGGGAAAGTGAGAAAGGAAGCTGCCAGGTCTAGAACTTGAACCATGGTTAGCTGTGTTGGGAGTCCTGCCCCTTAATCATCATGCACCTGCCAACCTCCAAAATAATTCTTTTAAAGAATTATTTGTTTTATTTATTTATTTATTATTATTTTTCAATTTGAGGAGGGAAAGAGAGAGGAAGGAAACGTGAGAAAGCAAGCCACCAGGTCCAGGACTCAAGCCGTGGTTGCCCATGAGGGATTCCAGTGCCTTAACCACATGCCACCTGCTAGCCCCAGAAGTTTGTTTTTATACCAGCTGTCTTCTGTGCTCCTCTTTCATCCTGTTGTATCCCACTTTCCCCAGTCAAGTGCCTGGGCTGGGATTCAGTGACCTCATCTTCCTTTAGACTTCATGGCAATAGTTCCTAAGGCCTCTGTGTACCCAAATTCCCTACCTTTCTTCCTATTTAAAACTGTTCATGAGAGTAGTAAATGTCTGTAGTGAAAAGAAATTTGGTTGAAGGAATTCAGTCAGATACATAACTTAGCCCCAATCCAAGGAATTTCCACATTCCTTTGTTAGACTTCTAGACAGAATAATGAAGTATACAGAAAAAATGCAAGGATTAGTGAAGTTTTGGGTAGGGATTACTTACCAAAAAGCTGGCATGGCTCTAACCCCTCAGTACTTACTGTTCTTTGCTTCATTCCTTCCTGGTTTTGAATTCACAGTTCTATCAAAGTTCTATGTTTTTACCTTATTTATTCCAATATTAGAATATTTCAACTAAGTATATCTGTCAATAACTATTGCCTCCTCTGTACCAATTAAATCATACACTCTTGAAGGTTTTTTTTTTTTTTAAAGTTTATTTCTTCTGAGAAAGAGACAGGTATCCCCAACAGGGTTGTCAGATCATGATTTACCCTTAACCTCAGCCAGCCACTATCATGGGCATGAACATGTGCAGCAACCCAGGACCTTCCCATGTGGCTTTGGCACTGTGGAGTACTGAGTTATTGCTATACACAGCAGCTGGCCCTTGAAGTCTTCATGAGATGTTCTTGTGTGCTTTAAGATCTTTCTTTCTTTTTCTTTTATGAGATTTTTGCTACAGGGTGCGTGTGTTCACTGGATAGACAGAAATTATTGCCAGTCCGGGACTCAAAGAGCATTCAACTACGTGGGAGTCCAGTGACATATCCATGATATTACCTGTTGGTTCCTATTATTATTTTTTTTTTGGAGAGGTTTTTGCTCTAGGGCGCGTGCGCTCGCCAGAAAGACAGAGAGACAGCGAGAAATCACCCTCCAGGGGAGACGGCCATGCCACAAATCACTTCTACATTCTCCTCTCGGGATCTTGGGCACGCATGTACACGCGCCCAGCATAAGTTTAGGCCACTGGGTTCAGGACTCAAACTGCGGTTGACTACATGGGAGTTCAGCGACATAGCCATTATGCTAACTGCTGGTCCCCCTACTATTATCTTTAATTTGACCAAAGAGAGAAGAAAGAGAAAATAAGCCATTAAGTTCAAGACTTGAGATGCAGGTGGCCATATGGGAGTCTAGTGCCTCAACCACCTTGCCACCTTGCCAGCCCCAAACATTTTCTTTATTTAACTTTATTTTTATTTATTTATTATTAAATTTTTTTTTTGGAGAGGTTTTTGCTACAGGGCTCGCCAGACAGACAGAGAGAGACATAGAGACAGAAAGCGAGAAACCACCCCCCAGAGGGGATGGTCACGCCGCAATCCCTTCTCCTCCATTCTCCTCTTGGGATCTTGGGCACACACGCACACGCGCCCGGTGTGAGTTTTAAGCCACCGGGTCCAGGACGCGAACCGCAGTCGACTGCGTGGGAATCCAGCGACATAGCCATTATGCTAACTGCTGGTTCCCTATTATTAAATTTTGATGAGAGAGGGACAGAGTGAAAGTGAGAGTGAGAGGAGAAAGAGAGAGTGAAAAAGAGAAAGCAAGCTACCAGGTCTGGAACTTGAACCACCGTCGGCCCTGTGGGAGTCCAGTGCCCTTAACCACCACAGCACATGCCAGCCCCAACATTTTCTTTAAAAGACAGAGTAGTAATTTTACTACTGTTGCATGTTATTTTTTTTTTCTTTTTCTTTCTATAACCTGTAAAACAAGTTTTTTTCTTTCCCAAGAGAGATTTTTACTATAGTGCATGTACACTCACCAGAGACAGAGAGAGAGAGAGACCACTCCCCAGGGGGATGACCATGCCACAATCCCTTCCCTTCCATTCTCCTCTTTGGATTTTTGGGCACACACTCACATGAGTCTGGTGTGTGTTTCAAGCCACCAGGTCGTGGACTCAAACCAGAGTTGCCATGTGGGAGTCCAGTGCCTTAACCCCTTTGTCACCTCCTGGCCCTTGTAAAAAAAATCTTAAAATAATTATTTGCTTAAGGTAGGCCAGACTAAAACAGACCATAGGCCCAAACAATTTGCAGATCCCTGATCTAACACTGAGTTTTAGGGATAAAGTAGAAAGGTACTGTCTATAATAATGCTGGAACCAGTTAGTAAATAAAATGGTAAAACAGATTTAGTTCACGAATTGCTGCAATAGGGAAAAAGTGAGAATTGACCTCAATTCTGAATACAGCATGGACAAGTGAAAATATATAGTCAAGAAGCAGCGGGGAAGGGTCAGTAGGTGGAAAATAACTAAAAGGATATATCAGGGGCAAGATGGGATTCTGACTAACTCGACTTGACAGGATCCTTGCTGAAGGCCAGATGATCAAATGCCAAGTGTTGGAGGACTCTCTTTAAATTGACTCAGCAAGATTCTTACTACAACTGGGCAACGCCAGCCCAACAAAAACAGATGCCATAGTTGGGGCCTAAAAGGCTTCAGGAGCCTGACTAGAGTTTGGTCAAGGAAATCATCTTTCAGTATAAAGAATAAGAAGATACTTCTTTTTTTAAAAAAAATTTATTTAATTTATTCATTCATTTATTTTAATTTGACCAGAGAGAGCAGACACACACACAGAGGGGGAAAGTGAGAAATCAAGCCACCAGGTCCAGGACTCGAACTGTGGTCAGTCATGTGGGAGTGTCTAGCACCTTAACCACCACACCACCTGCTGGTCCCAGAAGACACTTTTTGCCTTCAAGAAATGAGTTTCAATTAATGAATTTTTTTAAAAAAGAATTAATTATTTAATTCTACTTATTACAATTATATTTTAATTTGTTGTAGGGTACATGCTCTCATGAGAGAGAGAAGGAAGAAAGTGAGAAAACAAACTGCCAGGTCTGGGACTTGAACCATAGTTAGTCATGAAGGAGTCTAGAGCCCTAACCATCATGCCACCTGTTGGCCTTGAATTTCTTTTTATTTTTTAAAAATTTGCTATTGGGGTGGGTGCTTAGGGGTGTTGAACTCCCACATGACTGACCATGGTTTGAGTCCTGGGCCTGACTACTTGCTTTCTCTCTTTCTCTCTTTCTGTCTCTTATTCTGTCCCCCTCTGGTCAAATAAAAATAAATATTAAAATAATAAAAATTAAAAAGAAAAGGGGCATGGTACTGCCAAGAGGAAGTATGTTGAGTTTCTCTAGGGTGCCCCAGCAGTGGGCCACTTTTGCTTGAGTATGGTATCTCTTAGATGGGAAAATGCAGCCCCCTGGGAAACTCGCTGTTATGGCATCCACAAAGCTTCAGGGATTACGTAAACCTGTGTACCATCCACTGAGTGACTGTGGGGATCATGTTGTCACAATGAACACAAGACACATTGCATTTTTTGGAAATAAATGGGAGCAAAAAGTATATTCCTCACATACTGGCTACTTGGGTAGATTTAGACAAGTAATAGCTGCTCAAACCAAAGGGATCCAGTGGCAAATATAAAATTAGCTATTTATGACATGCTGCCAGAAAACCTCCACAGAACACTGATGTAAAGGTTGCATCTTTTCCCTGATGAGGATATTCCAGAAGATATTCTGAAGAATTTAGTGGAAGAGCTACCTCAACCATGAAAAGTACCCAAACGTCTAGATGAATACACACAAGAGATAGAGGCTTTCTCAAGAGTGTGGTCTCCACCTGAAGACTATCGGCTATAGGAGAACGAAAATTGCAGAAAGTAACACTACAGTGATTGAAATTTCTTGCAGATGCACTTCTCTAACCTATAGGATAGTGATAGAACCGCTATAGTTTAGTATTGGTTAAAAATTGCTGAATTATGAAAGGTCAGGAAAGGATATTCCTCAACAGGAAATTGTTGAAAATATACTGCAGCCATGTGCCAGGTAACTTTTCAGTCAATGAGAGACCACATATACCAGATGGTGGTCCTGTAAGATTACAGTAGGCTGTACCATCTAGGTTTGTGTAAATGCATTCTCTGAAGTTCCTATAGCAATGAAACCACCTAAGGATGTGTCTCTCAGAACTTATCCCCATTAAGCTACATGCAGCTGTGTTTTATAGAATTGTTTTACTATGTAATCTGATCTGAATTGTATAATGGTGATAAGAATAAAATTGTTGCTTTCCCATTCTGGACCGCGTTGGGTCTACTTGTTGGTCTCTGCGATCTGAAAGTTGACAACTTCTTTGCGTCCGGGAGGCTGCTCCCAGCGACGCTGCAATCGTCACCATGCCACAAAACGAATATATTGAATTACATCGTAAACGCTATGGATACCGTTTGGATTACCATGAGAAAAAGAGAAAGAAGGAAAGTCGGGAGGCTCATGAACGTTCAAAGAAGGCAAAAAAGATGATTGGTCTGAAGGCTAAGCTCTATCATAAACAGCGCCATGCTGAGAAAATACAAATGAAAAAGACTATCAAGATGCATGAAAAGAGGAACACCAAACAGAAGAATGATGAAAAGACTCCACAAGGAGCAGTACCTGCCTATCTGTTGGACAGAGAAGGACAGTCCCGAGCTAAAGTACTTTCCAATATGATTAAACAAAAACGGAAAGAGAAAGCGGGAAAATGGGAAGTCCCTCTACCCAAAGTTCGAGCCCAGGGAGAAACAGAAGTGTTAAAAGTTATTCGAACAGGAAAGAGAAAGAAGAAGGCATGGAAGAGGATGGTTACAAAAGTTTGCTTTGTTGGAGATGGCTTTACTAGAAAACCACCGTGTTATCACCAAAGGTACTGTCATTGAGGTGAACGTGAGTGAGCTGGGCCTTGTGACACAAGGAGGCAAGGTTATTTGGGGGAAATATGCCCAAGTTACCAACAATCCTGAAAATGATGGATGTATAAATGCTGTTTTACTGGTTTGATAGCAGTTGCATACAAATAACTCCTTCTAATTTTGAAGATGATACACCATCTGGAAAACCATCATGACTGATGTTTCTGAATATAGCTGGTCTTACATGTCAGCAGTCATCAAAAGATTATTTATTAAATTGTACAAAAACATTAAAGTGGCCTGGTTTTACAAAAAAAAAAAAAAAAAGAATGAAATTGTTTTTCCTGGCCAAAAAAAAAAAAAAAAAATTAAAAAGAAAAAATTTGCTATAAGGTGCATGTGCTGGAGAGAAACGGTGAAGAGAAAGAGAGATGGAAAGTGAGAAGGCACACTCCAGGGAAGATTACCATGCTACAGTCCTGTCTCCTCCATTCTCCTCTCAGGATTTTGGGCATGCATGCAAATGTGCCCAATGTGCTTTTCAGGCGGTTGGGTCCAGGACTTGAACCATGCAGTCTGTCATGTGGGACCCAGCTGCCTTAACCATCATGCCACTGGCTGACCCCAGTCTATGATTTTGTTCTATATATCCTTTTGTGTATATGTATGGTGTCAAGGAGTGGGATATATTTTCTTCTGAGGGACCATAAGAGAAGATCTGGGCCCTTAAGTTGTAATTTTGGAAGAAAAATTTTTAAGATTGGTATGAAGGTAGAGATTTAGTTGATGGAGGTCCTCCCTACCAATCTATCCACTTGCTGTTTGTGTCTTTTGCACTATATATATATATTTTTCATAATACCTCAGAGCCCAGATAAAAGTGATTTCCTCTTCCTCCATTCATGCTCCCCTCATCTGTTCAACTCACAGAACAAAGGTTTTTTTTAGCATTGCCAAGAGTTGACTCATTGTGAAGCACAGATATATATGCAGAGGACCACTTGGTAATCTTACTGCCTGTGTCTGGCTCTCTCTTCAGAACAGCATGATCTTGTCTGCTGCCATCTTCATCACCCTCTTAGGCCTGCTGGGTTACCTCCATTTTGTGAAGATTGACCAGGAGAGTCTGTTAATCATTGATTCCCTTGGTATCCAGATGACTTCATCTTATGCTTCAGGCAAAGAAAGCACCACCTTCATAGAGATGGGCAAGGTCAAGGACATTGTCATTAATGAGGCCATTTACATGGTAAGTATTTAAGAGGTAAGTGTAGAGGTCTCTCTGGAGGAGGTAGCCAGTTCATGGGATATTCTTGTATCTAAACTGAGCTTTAATGTCTAATAGTCCTTGATATCACAAAATTAAACTTGAGGACACCGTATTGTTCCAGTGCTTGTTGTGCTTTCTTTTTTTGACTGGTATGTTTGTAAACTATAAAAGCGAAAATTATATTGAGAAAATTGTATTGAGAAGATTTTTATTTATTTTTCTATTCTATTATAGTCTATTCTTTCTTTCTTTAGACAGGGTCTTGCTATGTCTCTGTCCTTTCTCAGCCTCTCAAGTAGGTGGGACTACAGACACAAGCCAGCATACCTAGCCTTTAAGGTGGGCTGGGAGTTGAACCTGGATATCCCATGTAGCCTCAGCCTGCTGCATAGCAGTGTCATCCAGCACACATCCCAACCAGCACAGGCTACCACAACCAGTACACTACTCTGGTTGGGTCAGTGCTTATAATTTTAGAGATGTATCAGGTTTTCATAGATAGAGAGTCAAGATTTCAACTTCATCTTCTGGCCCAACTTCAAAATCATCCCTTATGCAGGGTTGGCAGATGGCATGGTGGTTAAGATGTTGGACTCCCACATGGCGACCACTGTTTGAGTCTTGGTGGTTTGCTTTTTCACTCTCTCTCTCTCTGGTCAAATTAAATAATAAATAAAATTAAATTAAATAATTATTTGAAAAATCATCCCCTTTTTTTTTTTTTTCTTTTTGTCTTGTTTTTTGAGAGATTTTTGCTATAGAGTGCATGCACTTGCCAGAGTTACAGAAAGCAAGAAATCATCCGCCGTGGGGATGGCTACGTTGCAGTCACTTTTCTTCCATTCTCTCTCAGAATTTTGGGCACACAACGCACACACACACACATACACACACACACACACACACACACCCCTGGAGTGAGTTTTAAGCCACTGGATCCGGGACTTGAGCTATGTTGGACTATGTGGTAGTCTAGTGATGTAACCATTACACCATCTGCTGGTCCCTCTTTTCTGCCTTTTTTTTTTTTTTTTTTAGAGGTTTTTAATATAGGGCGCATGCACTTGCCAGAAATACAGAGACAGGAAGACAGAAAGCGAGAAATCACTCCCCAGGGGGGCTGGCCACGCTGCAATCCCTTCTCCTCCATTCTACTCTCGGGATCTTGGGCACGATCTTGGGCATGCACGCACACGTACCCAGCGTGACTTTAAGCCACCAGGTCCGGGACTTGAACAGCGGTCGGCTACATGGGAGTTCAGCGACATAGCCATTACATTAACTGCTGGTCCCGTTTTTTGCCTTTTTTAATTTAAAGAACAAGACTCTCCTTATTCTCCTCTTTAGAACCTATCTAGTGTTCTACTACTCAGTATGATTTATGAAAAAGTTTTCATCCTTGAAGAGAATGAGTTTCACTTAGACTGTGCTGTTGGTTTATTTTCTTACAGCAGAAGGTAATTTACTACCTCTGCATTTTACTGAAGGATCCAGTGGAACCTCATGGGATATCCCAAGTAGTACCTGTCTTCCAGGTGAGCACAGAACACTTGCCTTTCTTTAGTAAAATCCTCTATCTTTTCCTCCTCCTGCACATCCATTGCCACTTAGGTTCAGTAGGTACAGAAACTTTGGTTGTCACAAGATTAAAGAAAAATTATTTTCTATTATAATTCAAAATATTGTATTAAAGTTTATTAATAGTTTTATCAATTTTTTTTTTTTTTTGGAGAGATTTTCACTGTAGGGTGCGTGCGCTCGCCAGACAGACAGAGAGAGACATAGAGACAGAAAGCGAGAAATCAGCCCCCAGGGGGGATGGTCACGCCGCAATCCCTTCTCCTCCATTCTCCTCTTGGGATCTTGGGCACGCATGCACACGCGCCCGGCGTGAGTTTTAAGCCACCGGGTCCGGGACACGAACCGCGGTCGACTACGTGGGAGTCCAGCGACATACCCATTACGCCAACTGCTGGTTCCCTAGTTTTATCAATTTTTTAAAACATTCGTTTGTTTGTTTGTTGTAATCTTCAAGCTGCCAGGTCCAGGACTCAAACCACAGTTGGCCAAGGGGAAGTCTAGCACCTTAACCACTACATTACCTACCCACCCAATTTTATAGACTTTTATAGTATTTATGTGTTTAAGATTGGGCTTCAGAGATTGGCAAACTTTGCCACATTTTGGGAATTTGTGTTTGTTTTTACATATGCAAAGACATTTTAAAGTTATTAAATTTGCCAGGTGTGTGTGCGTGCATGCGTGCGTACATGCCCACCCAAGATCCCGAGGGAAATGGAGAAGGGATTGAGGCGTGGCCAGACCCCCAGGGGTGATTTCTCACTTCGTCTCTTTCTTTTTTTTTTAATTATTTATTTATTTTTATTCATTCATTCATTTTAATTTGACCAGCAAGAGACACTGAGAGAGGGAAGGGAAGAAAGCAAGCTGCCAGGTCTGGGACTCAAACCGTGGTCAGCCACGTGGGAGTCCAGCACCTTAACCACCATGCCACCTGCTGGGCCCTCACTTTGTCTCTTTCTTGCGAGCGCATGTGCCCTTTAGCAAAACCTTTCTCCCACGTGAAAAAAAAAAAAAATTCAGGACCTTCAACTGTAAGAATAAGCAAGAAGGGGGCCGCAGGCAGTGTGATGGTTAAGGTGCTGGACTTTGTGCCTTAACCACTTGGTCAACTGTGGTTTGAATCCTGGAGTTGGTGGCTTGCTTTCTCACTCTTTTTCTCTGATCAAATTAAAACTAATAATAGGGATAGTATAGTGTTTAACTCGCTGGACTCCCACACGACCAACTGTGGTTCGAGTCCCAGACCCAGTGGCTTGAAAATCACGCCGAGCCGAGTGCATGTACATGCATGCCCAAGATCTCAAGAAGAGAATGAAGGAGAAGGGATTGTGGCATGGCCATCCCTCTTGGGGGTGATTTTTCACTTTCCCTCTCATTGCCCCTGTTTCTTTCTGGCAAGTGCACATGACATATAATAAAGACCTCTCAAAAAATAATAAAAAATAAAACTTTAAAAATAAAAAAGAACAAGCAAGGGGAATAACAAGGATGGACATTCGAGAAGTATCACAAGTTGTTAAATAGTCTTCAGAGGTAAGAGCAATTTTATATGTAAATTTTGAAAATTATTTCATAGTGAAATTTAACACAACCAAAATCAAAACAAAAAATCACAAAAACACATCAGATGTACACATGCCTATGTGTATTCAAAATTCTGAAAGGATGGAGAAACAGAGAAGAAGTTCGGTGAGACCACACCCACCTTGGGGGTGTAGCTTTTCCCCCATCCCCACAAGTACACATGCCCTTTGGCAATTTAAAAAGACAAAAGGAAATCCATATATGGGAAAAATATATGTAGCAATTTAAATAAATTAAATCCCCACAGGGGGGTGGCCACGCCACAATCAATTCTCCTCCAGGGATCCTGGGCATGCACACACGTGCCTGGCATGAGTTTAAGCCACCAGGTCCAGGACTTGAACCACAGTCGACTACATGGGAGTCCAGTGACGTAGCCATTATGCCAACTGCTGGTCCCAGGAGGTCATGAAATTTAGACAAATTTAAAAAAGTAGTTTTATTTGAAATTGGCAGAATTGAATAGAGAGACAGAAAGAAAAGGAAAGTGAGAAAGCAAGTTGCCAGATTTGGGACTCGAACTGTGGTTAGCCATGTGGGAGTCCAGCCTCCTTAATCACCACGCCACCGGCCGGCCCCCCAAAAGTAGTCTTTTTATCTCTCTCTTCACACTATTCACAGGCTGGGTTTGGCCCTGCTTGGGATTCTTCCCAGCAAGGTGCTTTGAGGCCTGAACCTCCTGCCTCTGAACGCCATGTAGACGCTTTGTGTGGATGAGAGATTGAGGCTGGATACAGCACCACTCAGCACTCTGGTGTTCACCTTGACTCTGCATTTCTCCCCTTTGATATTCAGAGTGCCAAGCCCCGGCTGGACTGCCTGATTGAAGTGTACAGGAGCTGCCAGGAGATCCTGGCACACCAGAAAGCCACATCAGCAAGCCCCTGAGCCCCAACATTTAGAAGGCCAGTGTTGTCTACCATGGGAGATGGCTCCTAAGCCTCAGTGGCTGGTTTATTTTCTGCACTCTGAACCATCAGGTGGGCACAGTCCTAGGAACCAGTGTGGATGCAGTGGATCTCAGAGCCAGAGAGCAGGTGACTGGAAATCTAACCCAAGGTGTTTCTGTGTATTAAAGTGTTCACCCTGTCAGGTTTTACCTACTTTAGCAACTGGGGGAAGACCTTAAGATTTTGATACAGTGTTAAGGTAAAGTGCAAGGTGTACATTGTGAAATTTCTAGTTACATGCAAATTTATTTTGTATTGAAATTTGTGGAGCAAGACAATGGGAAACTGACATCTGATCTCCTGAGAAAGGTACAATTTCCACCTGCCTAGTAACCTTTTATAAAGTTAAGGGAAAGTAGTCAAGACCTTCAGGTACTGATTAGCCCGAAGAAATAACCTACAAAAGACTAGTGTCTACCTACCTAACTCTTGTGTTCTGTACAAGGTTAATTTATTATGACTTTTAATAAACAGATCTCTTTCTAAAACATATGCAGTAATTGATTCACAGGTAGCTGCTTTTTATTGATGAACATGATCATGGCATTTCAGTCATAGGTCTCAAGCACATTAACACTTTCCTGTTACTCAGGATTTTCTGTCACTTCAAAGCCACTTTTGCCAACAAGGATGAGTAAAAGGCCACACAGAAATTTGATTTTGGTTTACAGACATGGAATTCTCATGTTAAAGAAAGATTAAGAAGCAAGTTATAGAAGCCTTTGTTTCAGGGCAGTTTCTTCTGTATAAAATTAATAAACTAAGGGAGGATTCCTGAACGATTGGGAAGAAAGACGGTGGAAGAAACAGTCTGACCCTCAGATTCAGTGTGAACACAACTCCATTCTTATTCTTTCTTTAGAATCGTAATTTTTTAAAGAGAATTATTTTATTTAACTTTATTATTATTATTTTCCAGTTTGA